CAGACAGCTAGAGTTTCCGTGTTCCCTCGATAAGAAATATTACATTATCTATTTGTTGTTACTTTCATTAACAATATTGGTTATACCGTTGTAGTACCGAACTGTGCTACATGTTTTCTACTCCTTTTAGTTTAAAAATTAGGTTCACAACAAATTTATTTTGGGCAAATTTGGGCTAATTGGGTCAAGTGTAAATTAGGCGTTTTCTTGTCTGATTCTCTTGCAGAAATAACTACGTGCTTTTTAATTAGCCCCATAAGTTATTCTTATCGGCGAACTCGTCAATGATCTTCACTGCTCGTTGGCCGACGTATCTGATAAGCACCAATCACTGTTTTCTTATGTCAGAAACTTAAAAGTTTATTACCATACCTAAAACAGCAGATTTTTCCATAGACTTTCATCAGACTTTACCAGATTTCTGTTAGATTGTTACCTATACTTTCCACAGACTTTTCAGATAATTTTCACAGATTTTCGAGAGACTTTAAGAAGAATTTGCCTTAGAAGTTTAGGAAAATTCTAATTCATGTTTGTCAGTTTTGCAAACATAGTTTACTGTTACTAAGTTTCCTTAAGTTATTCAAAGAGAGAGTTCAGTTAGACTAGTGCTCTTAAAGTTTTGGCCTAACTCTGTGGTAACAAGGTCAATGTATTATTTTTGTATAGTTTTACTTTTTGAGAACGTTACAAGTTCTCCAGTGGCTGTAGAGTGTACTTCTACTTTTATTTGTATGGGCAGGCGGAATTGCTCATAAATTTATGTTGTTTATTCAGTAAGAGTGTAAGTTCGCCTGTGATCAAACAATCAGTTTATATTGCGAATTTGGCATTAATTGCTTTATTTTTCAGTGTTAGAGTTGGTAACTTGGAGACATTCTCTATTAGGGTAAGACAAAGGTGTATGCTAGTCTAGGCTACAGAGGGAAGGGAAAAAACACACACAAGCTTTCGGTTCAAGAAAATCTTCGATTCTCGGGCTAACCATACTGTTCTTTTTCTTTTACAGCTACATGATCATTTGCCCTGTTGTTATTTGTGGTGTTTCCTTCAACTGTGTAATAGACACTTGTATTCTGTGTGACATTTGTCTTCTGTATAATTTTTTGTGTCCTAACCATCACACCCGTCGAGAAACACACTCACATACGGTATCCTCGAATCACCTGTTTTTGCGAGCCCGGACTTCTCTGCTTTGTCAGAAATCCTCAACACACCACACTATTTAGTGCATCGAATGTTATTACATTTAATACTAGTTTGTTGTTTATTACTATTATTTTATTGTGACATTTTTTGCAATGATAGCTTGATATGCTCATCTGGGACTAACCTAAATATCCTAAACTCGCCAGACTTCATGATATACTATAGAGATTACGGCCGAAAATATCGTTAACAGCGAGGGTACCCGATTGATAAGACAGTGCATTCTAATCTTTATAAGTAGACACGTAAGAAACGTGTACTTGATATACTGATAACCAAGTTAATTTTTAATTTAGTTCTAAGTACGCAGTTTGTTCTGATAGAAAATTAATAATAATTATTATTTCAGCTTTTATTTCTCTGTTTATGATCAAAAACACAGGTCTACTATAGTTTTATTGTCTAGAAATGTTTACATGTTCTACAGTAATTCCTGTACGCTGAATCTAATAATTATATCCATTTTTCTCCATCACGTACAGATCTTTCACAAAACTTCATAACGCAATATATAAAAGAAAGACCACAAC